AAAGTGGAATTGCTGACGAATGGACTGTTGGAGAATGGAGACTAAGGTGTTGACCATGGATTTTATGAAATTATTTATGAAGTCGTTAGAACCTCTTTAGTCGAAGGTGACAACACTTGCTCTTCTTGTTTAGTTAGAGGAGGGGCAATAATAGTGGAGGTAGGGGTAATGTATGTATACACAACAAATATTTACAGGTTAATAAACAATAAAAAGAAAACAAAAAGGAGATGGATATATATAACAACCACATGGTTATTAAAGAGTATTGCGAACTGTAACATCCTAAAATTTTATTTTGGGATTGTTAAAAGGATTATCATATTTTTTTTTATATATGTATTTTACTATTTATGTATACGTATTTTACTATTCACGTATACGTATTTTTGAATAGTAATATATGTATTTTTGAACAGTAAATCCGTGGACGAACAGTAATCTCGTGAATGCACAGTATTTTACTATTAATATTATTTTAATGAATAGTGCATAGTAAATATAATATTATTTTAATCTGCATAGTAATTCCAGAATTTCTATAAATAGAGGCTAGGGGCTGAAGGAAATTCATAACTTGAGATAAGGAAATTCTGGAGGAAGAAAGAGAGAGAGAGAGAAGAATCTAGAAAGAGAGGAGGTTCTACTCTAGTTCCGGTCCTAGTTAATAAAAAAGAAGAGGAAGTTCTACTCAAATTTCTATTTAATCAGGTACGGGGGAAAAGAGGGTTATTTATATGTAAAATACATGAGGGTATTGGGTAGAATTTCTTAGAATAACGTTTGATTTATGTGAATGGACGGCCAAGCCTCCTATTGATTTAAAATTTGGAATTTATGTGAATGGACGGCCAAGCCTCCTATTAATTTCTAATTTGGAATAATTAGGAATTTTACTGTTATTCTATTAACTTTTATGTTAAGGAAAGTTAATTGCTATATTACTTGTAAGAATGAAGAATATTGATATAATATGCTTGAGGGGTATGTAGATCTTACTTTGTTAAGTTTATTTGTTATATGGAATTATACATGTGTTATAAATTTGATGAGATGTTGTATGGTTGTGATATGATTGTGATTGTGATGTCTCACATCGATGGCTAGTATGGCACGGCTCTGTATAAGTGGTGTTACAGGGAAGGCGTGACCCTAGCATGGTGTGAGATGAGAAAAACAGTTAACACCACCACTTATGTCAGTTATGGCAGCCCTGACATAGGGTTAATTGCAAGAGATTGTATTGATTGTAATGTGATTGTTGTTACTCACACTAAAGGATTAAGGATGATACGAACCCTGTGTGGTGGATACTTCAGGGACGAGCGTACTCCTCGTAAATCAGGGATGATACGAACCTTGGGTAGGTGATGCTTCAGGGACGAGCGTACCCCTGGTATGGTGTGAGTAAGGGAGGCAATTAACCTGTATCACTTGTGTCAGATGTGGCGAGGTCTTGGCATAGTGTTAATTGTGATATTGATGGACATGAAAATGATTTTATGATTGTGAAAGTGACATGTATAATGGTTTGTGAAATGGTTGAATATTTGATAATTAAATCTATATACGTTTATATGAAATAAACAAGTTGTTATAATAAATTATACTGTGATGTGTTTGTATGTGTTTTGCATATAGATAATTTTTCTTTTCTCACCGTATAAATTGTGGATATTTTTAGGTGGAGAGGATCCAGCTGCAATTGGTATATAGTATGTCAGCAGTTTTATTTGGGAAAATGCTCTGATAGTGTGACATCGGGGCAGAGGATTTCTAGTTTAAGATATTTATGAAAATTCTGTAATATTATTTTGAAAACAATTTTAGAAACTCTTGTATTTTAGGTTTGATATTTCTATTAATGTGGTGTATTGAATTTTTGTTATGTGAACCCTTTTACCAATTTCAAAAGTTTATTTTCTTTAATTTTGTTACATTATTTCGATATATGTTTTGGGGTAGTAAGGGTGTCACACGAACATATAGGCGAGTGGCTAGAGGGATGGGAGATTGCAAGATTTTGTGACCCATAGTGATGATAGGGTAATCTTTATTGACACCAAAGGATCCAGATTGATGATCTTTGACATAATGTAGATACCTCATATCCTTGACATAATCGGCTGATTGTTCTTTCCCTTAGTATACTAAATGCTGCACAACCTTGAGTCTGGACTTAGCTTGGAAAAATTTGGTCCAAGGCTGGATTTGGCATGGTTGTTGGGGTGCGTTAATCATAAATAGAAGGTTGTGAATGGTTCCTTCATAACCTAGTTCCATGGTGACCCTAGTACAACACACGTATTTTTACTCATATCGTAGTTGTTTGATAAGCTCTATTGTTTGAGCATCGAGATGATGTAGACCATATAGATTAAGGGGCTTCACCTCAAACATTTCTTTAGTGTAAGGATAGAAAATCTAACGTTCTTCTTGGTAGTAGAGACATAGGTACTTGTCCATATTCAAGTAAGACGATCTCCATAAAGCATTGCTTATGCGAATGTAGTCAAGGCCATCCTCCTCATTTGTGAGCTTTTCCACCAATTGCTCTAGATTGGTAGAAGAAAAACTTGATGCTTCTATGGCTTCATTGGGTGGAATGATCTAGGCATAATGCTCTAGCCATCTTGAGTTTGGTCCTACTAGTGTGGTAACGACATTTAAAGGTTTAGCCTTAATTGCACTTGATTTAGTAGATGGTTGTGTATTGTCACTAGCTATCCCAACAAATGTCCCAATGTTCTCTTCAATAGATGACAAGACCCCCTTAACACCCACATTTGATTCCTTAGATAGAACATTAGATACAACAATTGGTGTAGGAACATTTTGGACTTATGGAAATGTTGGAGATTCTTTTGCAATCTTGTCCTCAATAGCAGACACTCTTGTTTATGTTGGATAAAGACTCTCCGTGAGATGTGAGAGAGAGTACTTGGCTACAAAATCATGTTTGGTGAGTGGGTGTTGGGCTTCCCTCATTGTCCTATGGTAGTTCATCTTGTACATCATCCTAGAGAATGCATTAGACAAAGAGACGATATAATGTCCACTAGCATATCTCCTAGTGTCTGCTCTAGCTCCAACTCACATTGTCTTCATCAAATGATGCATGAAGAGCTACTTGCAACATTCTGTCCTCCTTGGAATCCATCTCAACCTTTTTATTCTCATGTTTCTGCACTTCTTGCTAAGAGAGATGCTTGGCATGCTTTAAACTTTGGTTAGAAGGATTTTTTTTTAGGTGGTTAAGAGGGTAATGTTTTGGCTTGTATTTGGAATTCTTGGGCTAGTTTTCACTTCATCCTTCACTTCACCTTGCTTCCTCTTCAATCATGGAAGTAGGTGAGTGATCCCCTTACGCTTGAGGGTGGTGAGGTTGATCTCCATCACTTCTTGCCTCACTTGTAGCTGGTGGTGTTGATGTTGGCAACTTCAATCACCTTAGTGAAAAGCACCCCATATGAAATGTGTGCTCTCTTGTTCTTTTCTTGGTCTCTTTAGATGAGACAAGACTTTTAGTGGGTGAACATCAAATTGAGTAAGTTCAGTGCAACCCTCGAGCAAAGATGACAAATGCAAAATTTGTCCACACAAATATGTTATCCTTGAAGCCAAATTGAGGGATGAACATGTTGAACAAGTTGTGCACCAACCCTACACAAAGGCTTCATTTTCGTCGTGCGAAAGAACTTCTTTAGCTCTGCCTTGTTAGATGGACGCTTAGAGGAGAAGAGCATAACTTCCATTGTCTTTTTAATGATGGCCTTCTCCTAATCATTAGAGTAGGTTAGTCTAACTTTTTTGCATCTCATGAGGGTGGCAATGAGGGTTGGAGTGATCTTTATCTCTAAACCATTGACTAGTCTTACAATGGTGTTGTCGTTGACCATTGCAGAAACACAAAAATAAGCATAAGGTGCATGGAACCAATTGCACCTCACCTTTGCAAAGTTGGGCCTTCTTGCCTTGTTGAGGTAGTGCTTGATAGGGAATCCATGCATAGTAAGTTGGGTTAGAGAGACATACTTCCTAGGGAGGAAATAAGACTCTAGGTACTCCTCCATGGGAACCTTGCTTATGCGAGTAGCTATTTTGGGTGCCATTGTTGAGAGTATGGAGTGTTGGGATTATTTTTGACGACTTTTTTAAGAGGATATATTTATATCAAGAATAAAGGGTTATGTCTTGTTATTTTTATCAAATTATTTCATACATGACTTCACAATGGTGAAATATTGTTTGCTTTAGGCCTAGATTTTGAAGATTTTGCTTTTGATTATCATCTAAAAGGTCTTTCAACCATTGGAGTATATGTGTGCTTTATAAACTCTTATTTTTTTTTCTTCATATTTTATCGATATGGGACTTGTTTGTATCCTAATATAAAAAAGGGGTTTCAGAGAGAGATTTTAAAAAAATCTCCTAACTAGGCGAAAAATCAACTGTTTTGTTAATTATGTTTGGTAGAGATAAATTTTACAATACTTTGCTAGTAGACTCTAGCTACTAAGATTTAGAAAAGTCTCACTACTAAAATTGTGCTAAGAAGGATATTCACAGTTCCTTAAGAAGGGAAGAGAAAGAAAAAAAAAAAAAAGGAATATTGTACAGATTCATATTAACTTTTTATGAGGAACTAACCAACAATTTCTTAATCAAAGTAGTTGCGCTTGAAAGATTGACATAAACCAGCTTCTTCCCCGAGTTCAAATGTCAACAAACAGCATCATTACATTTACATCCCTTCTAAACAGTATAGAAAGAATTGTCACAATAGCTTAACTACATCTATAATACATTTAAGATGTTTGAAAATCATTTGGGTTGAACTCAACTAAAATAGAAAAAAAAAATTACCCTCACAATCTTTTAAATCGGTATCCAAACATACACATATACCACAACAAACATTGTCTTATATTAGAATGATCATCTTCGTGCAATTAATGGCATACAATATATATATAGCTATAAGCCTATAAATATAATAGTTACCGAAATAATTAAACTTCTTCATTCATTCATTAATTCAAATAAAATGGGCAATCCCATCTATGAAATACAACTATGGAATTAGTTTCTATCCGTCATATTATCAATTAGTTCTCCAACAGAAATGAAAGAAGATCCACCAGTAAGGACAGATTTCCTAGCCTTCTCTTTCACCTCTTTCACCTTCTTGTGCACCATATTATCCTTGTCCATCAATTGTTTCAGTCCTTTCTCTATGTCCTCTGCTATTACAAGATCACTACCCTTTCTATAGTCTAGTCTCAGCTCCACTGCTAATCCAAATTCTCTCACCATCCTAAAAGCATTCAGCTGTTGTTCTGCATAGATAGGCCATGTCAATATTGGCACCCCAAACCACAAGCTTTCCAAAATAGAGTTCCACCCACAATGAGACACAAACCCCACAATGGCTTTGTGAGCCAAAACCTCCACTTGGGGTGCCCACTCACATATCATTCCCCTGCCTGTTAAGATACAAACAAAATCTTATATCATCAAAACAAAAAATATGAACATGAACTTATATGTACACACAAAACAATATCATATCAATTTGAAAATGTGTGTGAATACCTATTGCACAACAACATCATACTCCTCTTTGAAAAATATATCTCTACTAAATACAAATGCAAAAAACCGATCAGTACCTTCTGGTAAGAATTTTGTCTCTTCATTGTCTGTGGTTGGTGTAGAACGCATAGCCCACAAGAACCTAACTCCACTACGCTGAAGTGCTAGCGCTATTTCTCTTGTTTGAGATGGATCAAAGCTTCCCCTACTCCCAAAGCATAAAAAAACAACAGAAGAACCTGGCTGTTCATCTAGCCATTTCAATATTCTGTCATGTTGGGCTTCATCCAAATTGGGGTTTGGATAACCTTTGAGATCAATCAATGGACCAACAGCATAGATAGGAGGTGTTTGAGTTTGACTTTGACCATCACATAATGCATCGATAGCATACTTCTCCAATTCTGAAAAAGTGTTGACAATAACTCCTTTGGTGTCTTTGAACCTCTGAGCAAGTTTATAATAAGCAGCATATCCACCTTCTTTGTTGAAAACAGCATCAGGCAAAACACTTGAAGGAACTGGATCAGGGAGACCCGGAATCAACCACTCGGGATCAGAATCATTGAACACATCATCAACTTGACGTTTCTGAACGGAAAGCATGAGACTCAAAAACCCAACATTTGAGGGCATGAACAAATAAGAAGGGATACCCAAGTCATTTCCCACATCAATCAAGGGTAAACAGAAGACATCTAGGACCAACCCAATAACGTGATTTGAATGAGATGATGTTAAAATGTTTTGCATTGTGACTTTGACATGGGGGATGAGGATCTGCATGAAGGTCCAAATGTAGTGTGGTGGTGATCTCAGTAGTTCCTGTGGAGGTGGCTCAACGTGAGGGAGATCAACGGCTTTGATTTGAGGTTGTGAGGCTGTATGTGATCTGATGTATGCATATGAAGAGGAATAAGGGAGTTTTATGCAGAGGATTGTGATGGAAAGATGGGTATGACGGTTGATTAGGACTTTTGCTAATTCGAGGAATGAACCTAAGTGACCAATGGAGGGTAAGGGAAAGAAGATCAACTCTACTTTCTTCTTCATCCCAGACATTGATTTTTGAGTATAATGGGTGGAACTGTGTTTAACGTTTGTGTCTTACTTAAACTGTGGCAGTTTGTAAGTTTGATTCATCTTCAATTTGATCTTTGATATTTCAGCGCACAACACAAATGCAGATGGCAAATGAGAACGGAATCAATTGATACTTTTGGTTGAGAGATCTAATCAATTATTTTAGGCCACATAGTCAATTCGGCTTAGTCAATTATTACAGGTCATGTCAACTGCAAGAAAGGAAAATAAAATAAAATAATTTCGAAGCATTATTTAAAAGTGACCCGAGAGGAAGTGTCACGATTTGGTTGTTGATTCTGATCTAAACTTTGTAAAGAAAAGAAAATTTTGACCTGTCACGATTCCCTATCAGTTTATTTATTTTTTGTCTATATTTTTAGTCTTTATTATTAATTACCATGACGTGACAATCATGTGGTAATTTTTTTACAATTGCTATAATTTTGTAGTGGTTTAACAACCGTAAAAAAAGTATATCATTAAAATGGTCTCGCATTTTATCAGATTTATGTTGTTGGTCCGTCTGTCTAAAATTTTTTCCGTTGTTTTTATTGCTCCACATTATCAAACAATGGTGTGATTACTTTAAATGCTATGATAATCTATCCAGCACTACACTACAAAAGGATAATAGATGCTATTGCATCTAGAACGCGTCAAATAAATTAGGCTTGCGTGTTTTAAAACTTTGAATAAGTTTAGAACAAAACAATGTTAAGCTTGCGTTATATATCAATTATGATCACTTCTGTTGCAGACAAATTGATCGTTGATCTTTGATTGTTGAAGGACGGTGCAGCTTACAGATATCGTAGTAATACAATTTTCCTGCCATCCTCTGCTAATGGTAGAATCAGAAAATGGAGTTACCTTGTAATGTACAAAAAACTTAAGTGTTGGATTGGATTTCTGCTTTAGTCTATGGCTTTTGAGTAACTAATATAAATGTGGAATAACAATTACAAAACACTAATAGTAACAAAAGTTTTTAATAGTTCAAGCAAATACTTCATTAGAAAATAAATACGAAGAAATGATTCCTTAGTTGGTTAGTTAAATATTTTATTGGAATAATTGGAGAGTTTTCTGAAAGAAGCCTTTCTATCTTGTCCATTGGTAAAAGTAATCCTTGAGTCTGTGCAATCAGAACTCAGAAGTTGTAGATAATGTAGAACTTCACAGTTCAAAGTATCTTGACAAAGAGGTTAAATTCTCAGCTTTTTTGTTATTTCAGCAAGATATTTACCCTGGTAAAAGGCCTGCTGCAGTTCTATCTCTGTAGGTTGACGAGATCCATCTCCTGCAAAAGTTCCAGCACCATATGCGGATCCTCCTTTTACCTCACCCATCTCAAACATGCCACTTCCAAAGGTGTATCCAAGAGGAACAAAAAGCATACCATGATGAGCTAATTGAGTTATAGCTGTCAATCTGCAACAAAAACATTAACATGAAACTGATGTGAAAACTAAAATCAAGTGGTCATGGGGGCTTAGCATCCTAGCTGAAATAATGAGACTTATTGATGCAAATAATTCATCATTAGAGATGCGGTTTGTAATTAGTAGTTGACCTAATATAAAGACTCACTACCATATTGTAAATACACTTTCTGATTCAATCAAATAGCATTTTTCCAATTTATTAACATGAATACTATCATATAAAAAGGTTGTTTTATATGAGAAGAACCAAATGAAACATTTTGAGGAAATGTCAAGGGGATACTTACGCCGAAAGTTCTTGGCCTCCACCATAAAAACCAGTACTCCAGAAGATTCCAGCAGGTTTGCCAGCCAGTGCTTGGCATGCCCATAGCTCACTGGTGGCATCAAAGAAGGCCTTGAGCTGGCTTGGCATCATGCCAAAACGTGAAGGAAAACCAAATATCAAACCATCAGCCTCCACAAGTTGTTCTGGCCTTATGTCTGGTATATCATTTGGTTTAGGAGGGGCCTTTAACTTTTCCAATATTTGATCTGAAAGCATCTCAGGTACCTGTTTTCAGAAAATCCAAAACAAACTATTAACTAAGATTGAAACGATCATCACCGAGAAGGGAACCAAATGAAAAGATTGCGATTCACAACTGCAATTGTAGCCTAATTATTGTGGTTTTGAGATCTCTATAATGCACAAGGAGTGTGGTTGCAGCCACATTTATCTACAGCTTTGCTAATTACAATGCAACTAAAACCACAATTTAAAACCATAGGACTCATCATCCAAATATTTGCTACGTACAAGCACATTCTAAATGATTGGAAAAAATTACCCGCCAGAGTGTTGCTTCAACACCTTCAACTGTAGCAGCCCCTCTGTGTACTTCTCTTGCCATAGTGTCTACATGTCCATACAAGGAGTAATACCTGCAAAAATCCATGTGATAAGGATCATAACACAAAATCAAGTTTCTGTTTAATGAATGCTTCGGTTGGATATCTCATATCTGCACTCTGCACAAAAATGAAAATGTAACAAAAGTATCACTTGACAATATACTTACACAATGTACACCTTGGTGATAGCCATCTCTAATTTGTTGTCTAAAGTTGAAACACTGATTACACTTTTGCCTCGCTGCTTATGGAGCTACTGTTCTGGCCCCTGGATGACCAGCAGATAAAGCAATCAAGATTACCGTTACAACTTCAAGAATTGATGATCAGAAGTTAAACAGAAATAGCGCATATGAAAAATGTGAAATACTTCATCTACCGGTTGTGCCACTAAGAAGCATATAGTTGGCTGCACTATGCTATGTTAATTATACCAGAAAACTCACACATGAATGAATTTGGGTTGTTCAAGTAAGTTAAATTTACTTAAAATGAATCAATTAAGTCATAAAATACCATAGCATACCTCCTATGAACACCCCAAGTAAGGCTAGAAGATGAAAAACCAAAGATTGTTGATTAATCAGCGCTAGAGAAATGAGATGTGGTCCACCATGAAAGGGGACTAAGATAAAGATATAAAGAAGAAAACTAAACTAATTGAGATGTTTTTCAGGAAAAACAATAGAAAGCTCAACCAATCTCGAATTCATCATCCGACAACAAAGGTGGGAAAATCATCCTATGGATAACAGGAGAGAAACAAACCTTTTAACTCGGATGAATTGAACCCGGGGAAAACGTAGACACATGACACAGAAAACGATGGCACGTATATTTATATTTATTTATGAAGAGCATTGGTTGAATAAGCAAAAATGGGAGTGGTTGGAGTTAAATACTTAAATTGGATGAAGAACTAAAACTCACGTGGCACTATAGAGATAGACTAGACATGTGGAGTGATTCTTGTGACGAGGATATCTTCTATATACAAGTAAAAATCCACTTCACCAATAAACAAGTCTCTCTCTCTCCTAACAAAAATAATTTTAGCTGATATTATCGCATTGTTTTTAGAAATTTTTCTCGATCTTTATTTGCTTAATCATGGTATCATCAATCAATCAAAACTACTTACGCGTTCGTAGATTAAATGGTCCCTGTCGCACGATAACCCCACATTTAAAAATATTATCACTTTTTAAAATAATATTAATTAGATTTCTTAATGGGTTTATCTATCCTTACAAATTTGCCCAAGTTAAACTATTTAATCTCTTTTCTCAACTATTAAACTCTTCCTCTTTTCTATAGTACTACTTTGCTATTATTATATAAGATGTAATTCTTAATATCTGATATATTAATTATCTTTTAATTAAAATATTCTTATATAAAATATCATCGCTTAATTTGATGAAATACATAGATTATAGATATTTGAAAAGATATATATTTTAATTAGTTAAAAAATATGTAATATTAATTATGAGAGAGATGTAATATAAAATATATAATCAAATTGATTAAGAAAGATAAATATTAACTGAAAGAGAAAAGTAGTATAATATGAGGGTAATGTTGAAAAAAAATATAAAATTAAGAAAAATATATTATTATCACCTAAATTATCTATTTTTATTTCAGTCTTACATATATAAACAAAAATAGTATAATATTTTATAAAATAATATATTTTTATTTATTTTTCTTTATCTCAATATTTATTAAATCTACAAATAATATTTCTTTCTTTATTAAATAGGCTCTACAAATAATTTTAAATTTATTAACCCTAGTAATAATAATTAATAATATAATATATTATTATTATTGTATATATTAATATATAAAGGAGATACTCAATTTAATAATCACCTTGGACTTCACATTTCGTAGACCATTATACTTCTTTATTATTAAAAATATTAAAAAAAATAATTTTATTAAACTCAAGACTTTAAGGTGAAAACCAACTATAACACTAGTTGAAGTAATATACTTTTATTATTTAATCTTAATTTTTATTTTATTTTTAATAGAAATATGAAATGTCTCGATTCTACTAGTTATTATACTTATTTTTTATATTAAGATTCAACAACAGTCAGGTTAGAACAAATTTATACTTGATTTTATTGACTCGATACTTTATCAAGCGATTTCTTTTCTAAATTTAAATCTAACTCGATCAATACCTAAAATACATAAAAATAAGATTTAATCAATTGGATTTTTCAATATAATATATCAACATTATAAATAGTAAAATCGTAAAATAAATAAATAAAAACTTAAACTAAGGTGTGTGCATACACACACACACACACACATCTTCTCTCTCTTTATATATATATATATATATATATATATATTAATATAATATATATTAGTAATTGGTGAGTTATGTTTGTTGGGAGGATTCAAAACTAAGATCTCTTTATCATTTCAATCTTATGTTCCTCCTCTCATACCACCTAAACACTTTATAACTCTGTATTATAATATATATTTTAAATGATAAATATCTTATGAATATAATATCACATTATACATGTGACACTCATGTTTAGAGAAAGTAAGAGCTAGTGTGAGAGATCTCCTTCTTTTATTCCTTGGTTGAGACCTTCTTCTCCTTTGTGCAACAGATTGGAGTAGTTGAGAGGTTTTGAGTTGCGATGTTGCTAGTTGAGTTCGAAACCATATGAAATGTATGGAACATCCCTCTCTTCCCCCTTTCTCTTGCTGATTCTGGATTTCCAAGAGGTAAGGGAAGCTTGCTCTTAAATTATGGTTGCTTGGCTATTTTGGAGTCCTTTCTTATGCGAAGGAATTTGCATGAGTTATGAATTTCGCAAGTTGTATACTCTTGAGTGGTTTTCTTGAGTGATTTGGACCAAGACAGAATGTTGATGGTTGCATGTACTATTTTGAGTTGATTTTAAGTTAATTATGATTTACGCGTGTTGGGTTTTGTGTTGCATGTGGTTGGAGTTGTTGATTTTCATATGTATTGGACGAAATTGGGTTCTACATTGTGCGGGAATTGATACCACATCGGGTGTGGCTTCAAGATGTCGGGCGTGACCTCAAAAAGGAGTCTTTGTCTCACTCACGTAGGGCACTAGATTGATGGTGCCAAGTGTGAGGAGAGAGTCGTCTCGAGTTGAAATTTCTCTAGGCGTGGATTGAATGACGCCAGATGTAAGGAGAGAGATTCATCTCCGCCTAGGTTCACGCTAGGCGTTGAAGGGTGTGATGACACCAAGCGTGAATCAGGTAGAGGCCCTCTGCCTGATTGGGGTTGGGCATGGGTTTTGCCATGTTAGGTGCGAGAGAGTGGGGCACTCTCTACCTCAATCACCCCATGGCACTAGTGATGCGATATCAGGTGTAGACAAGATAGGAAACTCTCTGTCTCGATGGCGTCAGACATCAATTAAGTAATGTCAGGCACAAAGTGCCTATTGCTGAGTTGTTATCCTATGATGAATTATAATTGAATGTTGTTGATAAAGTTGTTTATATGTTGAAGGTAAAGTTGTTTATATGTGTGGTTGATATAAATGTCTTAATAAAGTTACATAGATGCTAGAGGTAAATTATGTTGTTTTAAAGTTGATTTTCCCTTTAGGATCTATGTGGTTTGATATGGAGGTAGTTGAACCATATCCTAGTTGATTGACTAACCGAGTAAAGTATGAAATCAAAGACTTGATCTCTAACTTAATATTGGAGGGTAGTTAGTAGGCTAATCTCATAAGTGGATTAGTGTTGCAAGTTAATGTCGTGGCATGCCCATATCCAAATTATTATACCTTAACATAATACCATACTTCCTTGTTTAAGTGGTAAAACTTGAAAACTTAAACTAAATTGTTTATATCTGACTCCCTTTGAGGCCTAATGTTGTACTATACCTGACCTGACTATAAGATAGATCTAACGTCGTAATTTGATAGGGTCAAATCACTTAAACTACTCACCTATATTATAAGAGATCTCCTTATTAATTGACATGTGTGACGACATAATTAGTTGTTAATACATGTATGCTGAGATGTTGATTATAATAAAGTTGATAAATGTTGAGTTAAGTTGTGAGTTATGCTATTGTTGATATATGCTTTTATTGCCTTTATTGTATTGTTGTATGTTATCTCTTTCATAAGTTTATCCTTCTTTTCCTTGTGCTTGAGACTATAATGATCATACTTAATATATGAGCAAGGCAAAATTAGGTGGTTAGTTGGACGGATAGTGGTGAGTCACATTAGAGGTGACTTGTTTTGTATGACTTTCTAATGGAGTTATGTTTTAGAGTCATCAACTGTTCGTCTAGAGAATATTTTTGTAGTAGTTTAATTCTGATGGATGTAGTATATGTATTGGATTTTTAAATATTGTGTGTATATTCCATACATTATGCTTTATGCATGTTTTAATTAACTTCCACTTAATGTCAATTTTTAGTAGTAGTGTGGTGACCTGTTGGATTGTTACTTGTTACAATACAAAATACTATCTATTAAATTAAAAAATATTATTAATACACAATAGTTAACAAATATATTTTAAGAAAATATAAGAGAATAAAAGACATCAAATCAAGTTGGGATAATCTAGGCATAATTAAATCCATCCTTAAAATACATCGATATAAATTTAAGATATGAACCTATCAAAATCAACTTAAATTTAAGATATGAACCTATCAAAATCAACTTTAGATAGAATTAGGTTAGTAGGTTGAATTGAATCATGTTCACCCCTACTTCATACTACCCAAACACCACCACTGAAGGGTGACAAAAACATGTGTGTTAGGTAAACTTACCTAACCGGTCAAACTCACTCCTAATTCATATATTTTTTTGGATAATAATATTATTAGTGTAAAATATTTATCAATTTTATTAATGAATAATTTTTGTCGAAAAGTTTGATTGATCACTATTAATAATATCTCATTATTCAACCACATTTTTTCTATTACCAAAATTTAAACCCAAACCCACTAATATTTATTGTATATATAATTAAATTCATATTTTATAATAATTGAAAAAAAAAATATACACATATTAATAAAATAAAATGAATGGGTTAAAAAAAATAAATTAATATTCATTTTAATTTATTTTTTTTAGGTTTTCACGAGTGAATCCGTTAAACCACCTCTTAACAATGTGGGTTATTTTCTAATCCACTACATTTATTATTATTGTACATGTTTAGCAAAAGTATACACACTGGCCACATAAAATATTAAAGCGCTCAATGCTTCGCTACATTTATTATTATATTGTTTAAAAAAATACACATGCTGGACACATAAAATATTTAAGCACTAATCACGAATGCTTCACATTCTCTAGTTAAGCATTCCTTCCGATTCCTATACACATCTCACCCACACTTGACAAAATCGTTTGACACATGCACCTTTGTTGGAAGTGCCCTAATTACATAACTTTTAATCGGATTCTTAGGCATATTTTCATTAGGGTCTAATTACGATAATATACTCTCTTTTTTCAACTCATTTTTAGAGATAAAATAATATTTTCACTTATGATTCTCCTAAGAGCGTCAGTAACCAACTAACGGTTAGACGATTAACTAACACAATAAAAAAAATATGTGAAAATTTAAAAGTTTGAATGATGGAAAAATATTTAATTTCAATATTTAGGTGACAAAAAATGTGCAATTAAATTTATAAATAATAAATGAAAAGTTATTATTAGAAATCACATAATTCAATAAAAAAAAAATAAATGTTAATAATATTTTTTTTATTGTATTCATTATTATAGATTAAAATTTTAGCTAAATTCCACTTATTTTTCCTTATAAATAAATATAGAATATGCAATTTTGGTATTCTAATTTTTAATTCTATAAACTTAGTAATATAATCTTATAATAAAATTTGTTCATCAATTCTTAATTTTGTAACGTTAGTCATGATTACATGATGTAAAATAATTAATATTTAATAATAATATTGAAATTAAATTTTAATTTTAATTTTTATTATGAAATAAAAATAAAGACTAAAAATAAAATTTAGTCTAAATATTGTTAAATATTAGTTATCATATTATTTATTTAATATCAAGTGATAACCAAAGTCACAATTTTAGCAATCATATCAATGAATCGATAACTCATGAGGGATCAAAATAGTGAATTTTTATAAATTTTGAGACTAAAATTGTGTAATTAAGTTTTGGAAGACTAAAATTGCATATTGAATAATATAAAGAGACTAAAAATGTAATTTAACTTAAAATTATTATTTAAAAATTAAAAATGTAGACATCTAGATATTCTAAATTTTTAAATTTAAAATAAATTTTAATTAGGTCTATAAACTTAAAAATTACAATTAAATTATTAATCTTTTATAAATTTTATAATTGCCTAATGTGTCCTAAAAATGAGTTTATAATAACTTGAAACCACACAAAAAATTGTGATGATTTTATTAACTTCATGTACCAATTATTATTTTTTTTATAGACAAATCTGTAATTGTGAGATATGTGACTTTCAGTGACCAAGTATTGGAAATCAAACCTGAAACACTAGGTCAACCCTCAACTAAATTTTTTAATATAAGAATAATAATTTAATAACAAATTTTTAATTTAGCAAGCTAATTAAAAAAATCATGATCCCCTGATGTATACTTTTTTAAGAAAAATTAATTAATAATAATGAATATAGTAAAAAGAATTCAATAACCTTTTCTTTTCAGTTTTTGTCAAAAATAAACATTCTTTTTAGCTTACGATGGAGAAAAAGATAAATATAATATGATATAACAAAAAATAAAGAAAAAGACATAAAAAGGTGCAAGATAAATGTAAAATTTAAGGTATAAAATAATTTAGATATAGAAAAAAGAAACTTTTCTTAATTCATTTCTTCCTAATACTATGTATGATAGAGGATTAAAAAAAAACCCAGCGAATTATTTTTAAAATAAAATATAATAGTGATTCATAACTGAAAATTAAATAAAATTTATGTCAATGCAATTAATTAGTTTATTAAGATGGTATTAAGTAATAATTCAATATCAATTAAATCTAATAAAAAAAATTATAAACAAATAGATTATCAGCACCCACTGATCCCTCTCCACACAGTTTTAATTTGTCCATAATGAATTCCAGGAGTTACACTATCATAATTAATTCCCGACCTTAAGCACACATTTAATGCCTACTAATTCATATTCATATGGCATATTGTAATAATTTCACCTAAGCCTCAGTATTTGTGAACAATTTTTTCACCAAATAAACCCTCCTTAAGACTTGTCCATAAAAGCAATACTTTCCCTTTTGATGTAGTCTCCTTTCATGGATGTCATGGTGAGAGGTGGAAGTCATGGTGCTAATGACTTTCAAATTTATGGGTGCGAAAGCAAGCCTTCTTTGACTACAGCCATAGGCATAGATAGATTCTTGCGTGGCCACTTCCCACACCAGCAACAACAGCTAGCAAAGAACAATGATGCAAGTGTTTTTGCTGAAGAGGCTTTGAAATGGACAAACCCCAACCAAACCCCTAAACTCTGCCTGAAAGATATCCAAGTTTCAGGTAAGAATGTGAAACTGGTGGGAAGGAGAAGCAAGAAACACTCTTCTGTGCCCTGGATCAAAGGACAGTGGAATAAAGAAGAGGACAGGTTGAATAAATATATTAAGATAAGGCTCCATTTTATTTTGTATTTTTTATGTTCTAGTTTGATTTTTGTGACTATACATTTATATTTGTTCTAAACTTTTAAGTTGGTTTTCGTTTGGTGTGATAATTTAAGGAAATTGATAAGGTTGGTGAAGATATATGGTCATAGAAAATGGGCTGAAATAGCAGAGAAGTTGGAGGGAAGGGTTGGCAAGCAGTGTCGAGAAAGATGGAATAATCATTTGCGTCCTGATATTAAGGTTTGTCGATGCTTAATATTGGTCATACAATTATATAAACCCCTAAAGTTAGTTGCATGACTATGAATCTTCACTATCAAAATGTGCACTCACTCTTGCATGCCATTACTTTATTACCATACATCCGCGATTGATAAAATCTCGAGCACAATATTGGTCACAAATATATATATGAATTATTCATATATGATTTTTCAGACATAATTTTCATTTTATTGATTTTTATTGATAGTTTATACAAAATTCAGTAACAATGGAAAATTTAATCTGTGTATATTTTATTTTCCTGGCATGGTAACTGAACTTTTATCAGAAAGATAGTTGGAATGAAGAAGAAGAGAAGATACTAGTAGATAGCCATGCAAGGCTGGGAAATCGATGGTGTGAGATAGCAAAACTTATTCCAGGAAGATCAGAGAATGCCATAAAGAACCATTGGAATGCCACCATAAGGAGACAGAATTCAAAGAGGAAGAACAAGAAAACAAAGAGATCTAATGGAAAGCCACATTCCTCTGTACTTGAAGACTATATCAGAAGCAAGACCACCTCCATCAACCCCAAACCTGGCATCATCACTGCCACAGATACAAACCTTACAACAACACTCTCACAGGACAATGCACCAAACCCTAATTTAAACCCTGTGTTCCCTGAACCTTTTGTTAATGAAGCACTCTTCATGCAACAAGTTTTCATGGATAATAATCAGAATCATAGGTCACTTGACAACGTTGAAGCCTCTAAGTACAGCTCCAAGATGTGTCCAACTCCAATCTCATACTTAGATTATTGTCAAACAAATGTTGATGATGCGGGTGAATGTGGATTTGTGTATTCCCTCCAATACCAAGATAACATGCACTTGATCAATGATAGTCTCTTCCCTAGAGAGACTCACACTAGCCACTTAAATTACCTTCATTCAGATCCTTATCTGTCTCACTCACTCAATGTGGAACCTGGTTATGGGAATCAAAACCTGAACATAGATTTTCGTCATCATGGTTGTTCACAAGGAAAAGCAGAAATGGATTTGATAGAGTTTGTTTCTTCTTAGTTCATGATGTCTGTTATCGGAGTGGTCGTATTGTTGATTTTGGATTTGAAGTCGGATTCGTGTTTGTTTCCTTAGTGGTTAATATTTGGTTGATGGTTTAAGCGTTTTCGGGTTGTTTATTGGAATAAGTCATAGCAACGTTAATTTGGACTTCTTGTCTTCAATAATATTTCCATGGAATTTACTGCATTGCTTAATTATTCCACTTTCCGTTGTTATGTCGCTTTCATTGATTTTCATTATTGCTCAAGTTTTATAAACTTTGAAATGTTATTAGAACTTTTGGTATTCCCAATTAAAAAAATACTGTAAAAAAGAACTTTTGGTATTTTGTAACTCTTTTGACACAATTAATATTCTTAAATCAATTTTATGATTAAGAAAAAATAGCCATATTAGAGAAAGGAATAAAATAAATCATGACAGATTAAAAATATATAGAGTGGAACTATTTTATAAAATTAGTTTGATCTATTATTTATTATATATATATTTTTAAAAATGGTCATCTTTAAAAGTTTGGTTTAGTCTATTTAAAAATCTATTTTACTTTAACAATCTTAAATAGACATATAAATTTAACTTTAAATAAATTAACCAATTTATTTTTAAACATATGTGTGACTATTTTTCTTTTAATTTTCATGATAAAAAATAGTTTACTCCATTATTAATAAAATTTAAAGTTTAAAATAATAAAAAAAAATTAATGTAAGAGGAACAAATCTTGCACATACACTAACACACACTCACACACAAGTATAATAAAAGAATAATCTTATATAAAAAATTTCTAGATATTTCTATTTTTTATTTCTTGATTTTATATTAATAAAAAGTTTAAAACAATTAATTAAATTAGTAAAAATATAAAAATATTAATAATTTGATTTTTATATTATAAATTTATTTATTTATTTATATTAATGTATAATATTTTCTTATTATATTATATACATAAATATATGTTAATCTATTAGGTCCATAACAAACTTTTTTATAAGCCGTCAAATTTTTTTAAATAAATAAATTTTTTTGAAAATTTGAATAATTAAATCTAACCTTTTTGTTAAATTAGGTTATGTATCTTTATTTAAAGTCTAACGTATTTTCATTCTTACTAATATTATTCTTAGTTGGAATTCAGTTTATTATGTTTAAATATTTTATTTTTAATACGATAATTAAAATGTTTTAATTAGTTATGAATTATTTGAATATTTATATGCCAATATAAATAAGGGTGTTTTTTCAGAAATAAATAATAATAATTTTTTATTTATAAACTAATAAATTAAATACTTAAAAATAAATCAATAATCTTAAGATGAGAAACAATTGAAATGAAAGAAATAAAAACTTTTATTTCAGTGTAAGTTCACATGTTGAATTGAATTAGTTTTAAATAGAAAAATCATTCGATCTAATCATTTTAAAAAAATAATAAATAAAGTTACTCTAAAGCAGCATTTTTTCAAGTAAATTGTAACTAGTATGTTAAGGATAATGCTAAAAAAATAAGAGGTGAATATTTTTTTATTAAAAAATCTAACATATTTTTTTTTTCAGTGGTTTCAAATACATATACATCCGAGAGCAGAGACTTTTAATGTTTTTGCCTATTTAGTACATTAGGCAAGATAACAACAAGACAATGGTAAATTTATTATTAATTATACACACTAAATAAAACGTATGAAGACAAAATTTAATCTCAAATATCTAATATGAAAAAGTGTGATGGCAATTTATAAAGATTCATTCCGCTCTTTGTCATTTGTATTGAAAATTGTATGACTTAATTTAAACATTAAGATATGAAACGTACCGCATGCGTCTTGTAAGTCATCTTTGCAATATACACACTTAAACTTTAACATTATCATCAAAATAAATTAAATAAATAACATCCAGTTCTACGTGTATTATAAAATATTGGGATACAAATAAGTTTTACATCGATAAAATAAGATAAAAAATAACAACTTATACAATACAAACATATTTTAATGATCAAGAGACCTTTTAGGTGATGACCAAAAGCAAAACTGTGAGGGTTTATGCCCAAAGCGAACAATATCTCATCATTGTGGAGTATGCTTTGTTTAATGACCTTATAAAAATAACCCTCATAACCCCCTCATAACATATAATGTGATATATAAAGACAAATTCTGCTGAATGAAAGGTTAGGTCCCTTTAATTTGAGGGGAGGATTATAACTTATATAATACTAACATACTTCAATGATCGATAGGATTTTTAGGTGATGACTAAAAGCAAAACATACCACTGTTAGGAACAAAAAAATCTTCTTTTCTTTTACGCACAATAATGATAATGAGAAACATATAAAAATAACATCATAAAAGAAATAAAAAAAGATCATACAAATTTATTTAACGTGATTCAGCCCCTCATGCTTACGTCCACAAGGATGTTCATTATTTATTTCAAAATGTGTTACATATATTTTGAAAATCATCCCTTCAAGTTTTGTGGGTTAAACTTAAAAATCCCTTCCTCACAAGTTTTATGGCCGAAACTTGGAAACCCCCCTTCATATGATCTCCTCTCTCATTTAAGACGGTGACCCTCTCTACAGATCGGGTCCCTTCATATGACCCCCTCTACATGAAAGGTTAGGTCCCTTGTTTGAGGGGAGGATTATAACTTATATAATACAAACATACTTCAATGATCGAGAGACCTTTTGGGTGATGATTAAAGCCCAAAACGACAATATCTCATCATTGTGGAGTATGCTTGTTTAATAATTTTATAAAAATAATTCTCATAAAATATTCCCTCAGACAAATATCATAAAATAACTCTAACATATAAGATGCTATTGGTTGGAGTACTCCTCCATCGGTCAATTTAAACTTAATTGTGACGCCTCAGTTGAGAAAAAATCTGGTGTAGGTGGTCTACTTAGATATCAGGATGGAAGAATGATTTTTTCTTATACTGCAAATATTGGATTTTGTTTGATGGTTCATGCTGAATTATGGATCATCTATATTGGAGTGACAGTGGCCTGGAATCGAGAGTTTAAACCTTATTGTTGAATCTGATTCTCAGATTATCAATCGGGAGTTTAAACACTTATTGTTGAATCTGATTATATTACCATTAATATGCTCTGTAAAGGTTGTGGTGATCATTATCAATGTATTGATTTGATGCACAATATTCTTTCTTTTGTTCAAGGTGGAGTTGTTATTTGTTAGACTCATGTGTATAGCGAGGTGAACCAGGTGACAAGTAAACTTGTTGTTTATGAAATATCTCTTATTAAGAATTTGAGAGTTTTTTATTTTGTTCTTCCTTTTATTGCTTATGCTATTTTAGCTTATGTAAACTCAATTTCTTTCCCTTGTGAACTTAATTAAGTTTTGTTGGAGCCTTGGTCCGGTATTATCACAAAAAAAAAAAATCCTTTTAGAGCTTGGATCTTTTCACGTGGCATCATTATACCTAACAGAATTTCAATCCATAGCTATAATAAAATAATAATTAAAAAAAAGAAAGTATATAATTTTAGAAAAACATAAAATAATCTAAATAAAAATTTCAGACACAAAATCCATTTCCTTCCTTTTTAGCATCCAATGTACCTAAAATTCTTGTTTTATGATTTTATGAGATAATGTCACTTTATTTCATTTTCATTTTTTTTGTTACAACTAGGAAAACGAATTAATGAGCAATTGATTGATTTTTGAACTAGCTAGTTGAGTTTGAAAAACCTTGTCTCTTCTTAAAAAATAAGAAATTTCTTTTTTAAAAAATTATTGATAGTATTATTTTTTTCACATATATATTGGTATATTAAATAAATTCATAATTACATTCTAACTTTTCAAATAAAGATAAATTTGTAAATTTATGTAATTAATTATTTAAAAGATATTCATTGCCTAAAAAGATAAATAATATAAAATTGAAGAAATTATTTTTATAAGTTTTTTATTTTAAATTTGGACAATATTAATTTTAAACAGTTAATGTAACTAAAAATTATATCTAAACCAATTTCAATTATAAATTACATTAAAACACATACTCTTATTATTAATCTAATTTCTTCCATAAAATAAAAATAAAATTTTCAACACAATAAGAACTTTTTTATTTTTTCTATTTTTGGAAGGAAAAAAAAAACAATGCACAAACTACACTTGTAGCAGCACTCACATTGAAATATAAAAGGAACATAAATACAAAAAAAACACACACTGCAATTTGCATGCATTTCTGCATCATAAAGCACCCTCACTTTACAGTGACGTGGCATTCCCTGTCTCACATCGAAGTTCACGTGGATGCAAGAACACCTTCAGTCCATTCTTCATGAACAAAGTAAGAGACATCTTCTGCTCCACTCGGTGACCGGGAACCAGCGATAGCCGGTAACGCAGCAACACAGCAGCAGCCACTGATTTCATTTGCAAGTAAGCCAAGTCCTTGCCCAAACAAGTTCTCGGTCCCGCATTAAACGCCACGAACATGAACCCATCTTTCGGCGGTTCGAACCGGTCACCGCGAACCGAAAGCCACCTCTCCGGTTTAAACTCCAAGCAATCCTTTCCCCACACTGTCTCCACCCTCCCTGCAGAGTATATCGAGTATGTCACCGTTGATCCCGCCGGCACCACCGTTCCATCCGGCAACACGTCGTCGGCGACGGCCTGCTTGAAGTCCTGCGGAACCGACGGGTACAAACGCAGCGTTTCGGCCAGCGCAGCTTTCAGGTACATGAGCCGGTCCGCTTCGGCGAAGTCGAGGGGGTCCTCTGTCCACCGGCGTCTGTCTCTGCCGCGCGTGTCGGTGAGGACGGTGGCGATTTCGTTGAGTATTTTTTTCTCTACGCGTGGGTGGTTGATGAGGAGCCAGAAGAACCAGGTGAGAGCGACCGATGAGGTGTCCCTGCCGGCGAGGACGAAGTTGAGGATGATGCGCTGGAGTGCTGCGGCGGAGAAGGGATTTCCGGCGGCGTCGCACTTCTTCATGAAGCGAGAGAGCAAGTCGTCAGAGGGAGTTTCCTTGCGGTCTGCAACGGCGTCGTTCATGTAAGCTTCCACGATTCGGAGACTCTCCTTCAGCCTCTTTTCGAATCCAATGCTGAGAAGCTTCTGGAACCTCCACACCATACCTGGATAAAGTAACCTGTTACACCATAAACTATTTTTCATCAAGGTAGGAATGTAAATAGTCTAGGTACTATGTCAGACTTTCATATACAACTATTATTTATTCTAAGTAAAGTTTATATATTTTGTATTATTTATCATAATTTTTTTTAAGATTTAGTATGACATTTTTAAAAGTTTATTTATTTATTTAATTATATCGATATTTATGTATATTATTTTTTATCATATCATATAATTAAAATTATTAAATAGACTAATCTATTAAATTTAACATACTTTTTTATGAGATGGAGTCAATCTTTTTAAATAGATCATATCAAATTTTAAATAAGTTAATAAATTTTTATTTAAGATTTGACATATATTTTTCATCTATAATAAAAAAAGCAAATATATATAAAATACAATGATGTGCTAGTTAGTAGTTACATATCACTCTTTTACATATCATATGTTAAACTTTTGAGTAGTATAAAAGGAGAGTTGTTATAAACCTGTGCATGGTGGCTTCAGTGGCAGTGTCAAAAGCAACAGCGAAAGGGTTTTCGGGAAGCTTGAAGTCCTGCGGAACCGACGGGTACAAACGCAGCGTTTCGGCCAGCGCAGCTTTCAGGTACATGAGCCGGTCCGCTTCGGCGAAGTCGAGGGGGTCCTCTGTCCACCGGCGTCTGTCTCTGCCGCGCGTGTCGGTGAGGACGGTGGCGATTTCGTTGAGTATTTTTTTCTCTACGCGTGGGTGGTTGATGAGGAGCCAGAAGAACCAGGTGAGAGCGACCGATGAGGTGTCCCTGCCGGCGAGGACGAAGTTGAGGATGATGCGCTGGAGTGCTGCGGCGGAGAAGGGATTTCCGGCGGCGTCGCACTTCTTCATGAAGCGAGAGAGCAAGTCGTCAGAGGGAGTTTCCTTGCGGTCTGCAACGGCGTCGTTCATGTAAGCTTCCACGATTCGGAGACTCTCCTTCAGCCTCTTTTCGAATCCAATGCTGAGAAGCTTCTGGAACCTCCACACCATACCTGGATAAAGTAACCTGTTACACCATAAACTATTTTTCATCAAGGTAGGAATGTAAATAGTCTAGGTACTATGTCAGACTTTCATATACAACTATTATTTATTCTAAGTAAAGTTTATATATTTTGTATTATTTATCATAATTTTTTTTAAGATTTAGTATGACATTTTTAAAAGTTTATTTATTTATTTAATTATATCGATATTTATGTATATTATTTTTTATCATATCATATAATTAAAATTATTAAATAGACTAATCTATTAAATTTAACATACTTTTTTATGAGATGGAGTCAATCTTTTTAAATAGATCATATCAAATTTTAAATAAGTTAATAAATTTTTATTTAAGATTTGACATATATTTTTCATCTATAATAAAAAAAGCAAATATATATAAAATACAATGATGTGCTAGTTAGTAGTTACATATCACTCTTTTACATATCATATGTTAAACTTTTGAGTAGTATAAAAGGAGAGTTGTTATAAACCTGTGCATGGTGGCTTCAGTGGCAGTGTCAAAAGCAACAGCGAAAGGGTTTTCGGGAAGCTGAGGAGAAAGCGTTTCAGGATCTTTCCCGAAAGTAAGTCCACAAATGTTATCAAACGTCAAGCGCAGAAGAAGGTCTTGCAAATCCACGGAGACATGATCTTTGGTGGCTTTATCCATTATACACCACAAACGGTTCTTAATGGACCTGTTAACCCAACGAGACATGCCCTGTTTCAAAGTCCGTGTAGTGAACTCAAGGGCCGCGGTTTTGCGCTGCATGAGCCACGTGTCCCCATCGCTGTTGAAGATGCCCTCGCCCAACAGCTCGTGGAAAGCCTCCTGCCACTTGGGCCCTTTCGGGTAGTTGTCGAACCGGGCCCGGAGGATGTGCTCGAGGTTCTTGGGGTGGCACGTGACGGTGTAGAACCCTTGCTTGCGAGCAAGGAAGGGGAAGGGGATGATGCATGTTTGGTAGGTGGCGGAGGCACCCGCGGCACCGAGGTTTCCGGCTATCCAGTCGTGGACGCGGTGGCGGTTGTTGATGAGGGCCGGGAGGCTCCCCACCAAGGGCCATGGTTTTGGGCCGGTTAGGGTTTTGGCGAGGAACTGGAACCAAAGGAAGTAGGCTGAGAGCAATGCTGTTAGGGTGAAGATGAGAGGAAGAGTCTCCATTTGCATTGTGGTGTGGTGGAATTAAGATAGTGCCAAAGGGTATTCGATCTTTTTTCTTTTATATGCATGTCAGAAATGATGAAGATTTAATTAGGAGAGAGTAGGTTGGAATATTTTGGCGTAACAATTGTGGTCCATGTTAGGTGGACATGTTTATTATGACATACTATGTTTGGTGTCTATCCGTGTGCTCGGGAGTCACCATGTTTACAATTATTAAGTCCTTTTATTATTTTTTATTTTTTATTTTTTATTTTTATTTTCTTTTTAACCCCAAGCGTGTGGTTCAGTGGTAGGGATTGATCCACGCTTAAGTAAGGTCAGGGGTTCGAATCCTGCGCGTTAAATCTTGGGACCAGCTATCCCACCCTTTGAGATGCCTCCAACCAAGGACGAATCAAAAAAAATATTATTATTTTTTAAAATTAAAAAATTTAAACGTATATATGTAGTAATTACAGTATGGATAATATAAAGAATTTAAGTATAATTAAAATTAAAATTTTATCTCGATAATATTCATTAATATAAACTTGATCAATTAAATGTAATTACAATAAGAGATGAACTTCAATTCTGATTGAAAAGTAAAATCAATCACATCTAAAAAATTGTTTTATCCTTAAATTATACGTCTTAAGCATTTCAAGAGAAGTTTGATTACATAGGATAATTAGGATTTTAATTATTATCTAACTCAATCTAAGATTAATTAACATGAAATATTTCAAGTTTGAATGTCCTAAATAAGCTATCACATCTTACTTGGTTATAATATGTTTCTCCTATATGATCTATTAAAAAAAACTAAGATGTTAAGTGTGATATTATTAATTAAGAACTTATTTGAGTATATATGTATGGATCAATGTCTGTTGTGAGATTTATTTGAAATAGCTAATAGATGACGCGGTGGCGGTTGTTGATGAGGGCCGGGAGGCTCCCCACCAAGGGCCATGGTTTTGGGCCGGTTAGGGTTTTGGCGAGGAACTGGAACCAAAGGAAGTAGGCTGAGAGCAATGCTGTTAGGGTGAAGATGAGAGGAAGAGTCTCCATTTGCATTGTGGTGTGGTGGAATTAAGATAGTGCCAAAGGGTATTCGATCTTTTTTCTTTTATATGCATGTCAGAAATGATGAAGATTTAATTAGGAGAGAGTAGGTTGGAATATTTTGGCGTAACAATTGTGGTCCATGTTAGGTGGACATGTTTATTATGACATACTATGTTTGGTGTCTATCCGTGTGCTCGGGAGTCACCATGTTTACAATTATTAAGTCCTTTTATTATTTTTTATTTTTTATTTTTTATTTTTATTTTCTTTTTAACCCCAAGCGTGTGGTTCAGTGGTAGGGATTGATCCACGCTTAAGTAAGGTCAGGGGTTCGAATCCTGCGCGTTAAATCTTGGGACCAGCTATCCCACCCTTTGAGATGCCTCCAACCAAGGACGAATCAAAAAAAATATTATTATTTTTTAAAATTAAAAAATTTAAACGTATATATGTAGTAATTACAGTATGGATAATATAAAGAATTTAAGTATAATTAAAATTAAAATTTTATCTCGATAATATTCATTAATATAAACTTGATCAATTAAATGTAATTACAATAAGAGATGAACTTCAATTCTGATTGAAAAGTAAAATCAATCACATCTAAAAAATTGTTTTATCCTTAAATTATACGTCTTAAGCATTTCAAGAGAAGTTTGATTACATAGGATAATTAGGATTTTAATTATTATCTAACTCAATCTAAGATTAATTAACATGAAATATTTCAAGTTTGAATGTCCTAAATAAGCTATCACATCTTACTTGGTTATAATATGTTTCTCCTATATGATCTATTAAAAAAAACTAAGATGTTAAGTGTGATATTATTAATTAAGAACTTATTTGAGTATATATGTATGGATCAATGTCTGTTGTGAGATTTATTTGAAATAGCTAATAGATTATATTTGGCATCATTGTTACATTGTGTTTACAGATTCGAGTGAAAAGGTGAATGCACGTGCTTGCCAAAATGATCTGTGATTGTAACCTTTGGCAACTGCATGCATGGTTTCCAAGTTTTCAATTTATTATTTGATTAATTGTTCATAAAACCTGTACTGTCATTTTCCTTCTCATTCAAATTCCTAAATTCTATTATTATTCAATTTGAAACTTATCATGATATTAATTTGTATGGTTACCGAGTCTTTCTATTAAGATAACGATCAATATAAAAAAAATCTAAGTGTGATATTGACTAGAGATAAATAATTAAATAATATATAAGTAGAAAATAATTATCATCTTATAAATTGATTTGGTAAGATTGAGTTAGATTCAAATTTACTATTCTAAGATCCTATGAGAGTTTAGAGTTTAGGGGTGTAGAGCAATGTTCATCTTCCTTTAATTTTTATACATTTAGAGCATATCCAATGTGATTGAATTTTTTTTTAATTTGAAATCCAATGTGATTTGAAGTTAAGAATATTATTGGAGGAAATGAATTTTTATAAAGTTTTTATATAAGTTGTTTATATAAACAATAATTACCAAATTGCTTAAAATTAAAAAAAAAAATTCTAGTTCAAAATTAAGATTTTTGTCTGACTAAAGAGATTTTAGTGTCTTTTTGTATTCTATGTGATAATAAAAGATTCATCGAAAGAGAGTTAGCAACCCAATTAAATTATTGTATTAATTGGAGATATTTTTAGTGAAAAAAATATACTTTATAATATATATATATATATATATATATATATTGAAATTCGTTCTAATAATATATATATATATATATATATAAACATTAATAATTAATTAAATATTATTAAGTATAAAATTTTAAAATTATTTTAAAAATAATACATAATCTTGTCATCATTCCAATTAATTAAATTCATTACCGCAGTTTTTTTTATATCTTTAAGTTAGAATTTAAAAGATTTATGTTCAACACTTTACAACAAGTAAATCAAATTAAGGAATACATATGAAAGAGATCTAACTTAATTAGTTGAGTAATCTATGTGAATAGTTATATACCTTTTTTCTATAAAAAAATAAAAAAAGATAATTAATCAAGGGTCGTGATAACTAGTACACTCTAAGAAACATATTAAAATATGAGTAAATAGAATATTTTTATTGAGAATTATAAAGAAAGTGTATTAGAAAATATGAGTTATTTATATTAATGATGAGACGTGAAATGGAACTTCTTCATCAATGATGAAACTAAAAAGATATAGGATGTAAGGATTAATACCACTTCGAGAAAAAGGCCAATAGTTAAAAATAAGCTCGATTCTAAATTAATTTACAGTAAACTTTAAACATAGAGGTTTCTGAGTTACTAGAATCGGCCTAATGTGAGAGATTTGACACAGTTTATGCTTGAACTTGATATTGATATCATAATTCCGATAATAAATAAACATAGAAGCTTATCCATTGTTTGCTTTGAGTATTTAAAATGATAACAAGAATGATAAATAAACAGTTATGTTATCAAATTCGTTTTATGGCTACATTATTGTAAACTTTACCATAATCATTGACAGGTCTAATTTGAAAGGCGTGCTTAAATATTTTTTATGTGTACTCAAGGGAAAGGAGTAGATGGTAAAATAAATCTAGATCTTATGGATATATATAAAAATATCCTCATGCAGAACAGATAAATGTCTATTTATATGAGAATAGATATGGAGCGGATATTATAAAATATAAAATTGGTTGAAACACAAATAATAGATTAATAAATAATTAAAAATTATTTATTAAATAAAATTTTTTTTTTTTAATTATTAGTTTTAATTATTAATATAAATTGTTTAATCATTCATTCATTATTAATTTATTTACTTTATATATAATAAGTAAAATATGAGTCACAAGTGAAGATTTGGATACACAAGTATTTAGTAGGTACGGAAATGAAAATTAAAATTATTACTCGCGTGAATATGATATTGGATATAGGTATTATTTAAATCGTAGGTATGGCAACCGTATTATGAGACCCTACACATTGTAACCCGTAGAAAGGTGCAAAACATCTCCCCCTCATATTCCAAAGTCAGCTAACCAATATTATGGGGAAAAAAACAACGAAAATTTTAGCAAACAAACTAATAAGAGTGAAAAATGCATAAACTATCCACATATTTGGTAAATTCCGTATTAATTTCTAACCTAAACCGTCATGCTTTTGCAAATATTTGTGTTACTACTATAAGTTAATTCGAGTCAAAAAAAAGTACCCACCATTTAACTACTCTAGTCTCTTGTACGCCAATTTATTAAATTTGACTTGATTTCAATGCTAACCTCGTTTCTTTATTTTCTTTGTATGCTTGCCAAGCCAAGCTGCATGCGTAGAATGCAAGAGAAAGGGTCGTTCGAGACGGTTTATCCGCAGCAAGAAAATGGGCTTTCACCAAAATATGAAACAATAGTGAAGTGTCCAGAGAAAAAATATTAGACTTCGTAAATGAGGAAAACAGCTTAGTTTGTGTCATTTAAGGTGAAGTCTCCAAAAGGACCAGTAATGTAACCATGAAAATTGATCGTAAATATAATAGTAAAATAATAAACGGTTGAGATATTTAATCTATAAATTTTTTATGATTAAGATTTTGAAATTGCAGATCAGTCTTTTTATTTTTCTTAATTGTCAATCTTTTTAAAGGTTTTGTTTTAGGGTGGGAGAGCGGCTCCGTCCCCGGCGTTGACGTCACCACGCTCCCTCGCCGTCGCCTCAGGGCTCTCTCTCCCACCCAAAAAAGGGTTTTCCGTTGTCCTTTCCGACATGTGTCCCTTGGTCTCCGGAATCACCATCAAAGATGTTGCCTTGTCGTTTGAGCTTGGGATGCGGGCCTTGGGTTTGGCTCTCGGCGGAGTGTTGCGAGTTGGAGGGCACCTTGTTGTCAAAAAGATTGACAATTAAGAAAAACAAAAGGAATGATCTGCAATTTCAAAATCTTAATCATAAAAAATTTATAAATTAAATATT